CCCCCCGACCAAAAATGATTCATAGAATCATAGGACTGGAAGGGACCTCAAGAGGGCATCGAGTCCAGCCCCCCGCCCTCAAGGCAGGACCAAGCTCCACCTACACCATCCCTGACAGATGTCTGTCTAACCTGTTCTTAAATATCCCCAGAGAGGGAGATTCCACCACCTCCCTTGGCAATTTATTCCAATATTTGACCACCCTGACAGTTAGGAATTTTTTCCTAATGTCCAATCTAAACCGCCCCTGCTGCACTTTAAGCCCATTACTCCTTGTCCTGTCCTCAGAAACCAAGAGGAACACATTTTCTCCTTCCTCCTTGTGACGCCCTTTTAGATATTTGAAAACCGCTATCATGTCCCCCCTTACTCTTCTTTTTTCCAAACTAAACAAGCCCAGTTCATGAAGCCTGGCTTCATAGGTCATGTTCTCTAGACCTTTAATCATTCTTGTCGCTCTTCTCTGTACCCTTTCCAATTTCTCCACATCTTTCTTGAAATGTGGCGCCCAGAACTGGACACAGTACTCCAGCTGAGGCCTAACTAGTGCAGAGTAGAGCGGCAGAATGACTTCACGAGTTTTGCTTACAACACTCCTGTTGATACAAGCTAGAATCATATTTGCTTTTTTTGCAACAGCCCACCCTTGCTTTAAAGGATGTGCTAATTTACCATGCAGACAAGTGAACAGCAAGTCTTCCCCTTACTCATGTCCCTACCGAATGGGCTGAGGTCACAGCTTTGGAAACTTGTGGCCCTAACCATGATCCTCTGACACCAGATGGCGGTCAGTTTCTCCGAAGAGAGGGTTCCTTTGGTTAGCTCTCAAAGCTGTTCTTGGATAAGCCCACTCCTTTTGTTTAAGGGAAGTGCCTGTCACATCAGTTCTAATTAGTAGTTCATAATCTTCAGTCACTCTTGGCTGTTTCAGATGGTGTTCAGTGCACGTGTAATATTAATGTTCTGATTTTATGTGGCTATGGATGTTATTCCATGGTATACAAACTGTAGCAAAAGCACCTACTGCTTATGGTTTTTTTAAAACCATGTATTGTAATTATCTGTAGCAATTGCAGTTATATATAGTTAATATAAAGTAGATCTTAAGGATAAACTTAAGATACGCATACCCTTGTTAAGATTGACAGATTTAGTTTTAACAGCTGGGATACCTTTGGTGGTATTATAGCATAGGTTTCTGGGGAAAAATACAAACTTAACTTCATTGTGAATGAACCAACTGGAGCAAAGCTCTGCACAGCACATGTTTTGAACTCAAAAGTTGAAAGATGGGGACAGAATGCCATGTCAGCCTTTCAGTAGGCTGAGATGAGGTTAGTGAAGTGCAGAAACGGCCTGGTTAATCAAGATAGTGATGTGGTATCCTAACCGCTCCATCCTGAAACAAGTCTTAAATGTTCCTGTAACGTTTGTAGGACACTGTGCAATTGTCATGTGGAAATGACTTGGCCGCTGGTGGCCTAGCAGTGAGGGATTGCATGTCCTAGTAAGACTTGTTGGTGATAGTGAGTCGTTTTCCTTCCTGTTAGTGAGCGTCTTTCACAAAGCTTGGGGGTTGTACAAGGCTATGACACAAGTTGTCCTTAACTCTTACATAGTATAAGCCTTGTGTCACGAGGCCTTCTGTTGGGCACAGAAGTAAATGTAAAGCCATTGCAGTCTGTAGCAGACAGGGTAATATGCACCATGCCTACTACCCTGAGTAGTCAGTACAGAATGCAGCGGTTGGAAGTCTCTTGTCTAATTTGGGATGATTACAGTGTGCCCTGTGCTCCATCTTGTAGCATCAAAGGCCTGAATCTCAGAGAAGGTTCCAGTCTGAAATGAGATCACTACAGCTATATGGACAGCCTTGAGCAGCCCAGTTTTCTTTCAGTCCTGTCTTGGAGTTGCTGGCTACTGTCGGTAGATAGGATACTGGGCTAGATGGACCTTTGGTCTGACCCAGTACGGCCATTCTTATGTTCTTATGTTATGAGTTTCACCCGTAAGTAAGTTTTGGTCTTGATTGAAGTTCAGTAGCTGTTTAAACTTAAAACCAAACCAAAACCCACAACCCCAGAGGTTTGTAAAGAGAGGGGCTGTCATAATCTTACCGACTGGCTGGTTCAAATATGTAGCTGTAACTAATGCATTGACGCAGCTGGAGTGTGGGTAGAGGGAAGGAAGAGCTATGCAGATTGTCAAAACATATGCACTCATGTTAAAACAGCATAGGATTCTTGGATACTAATGAATTAACTCGCTTCAGAATAGAAAGCTTTGCCTGCATGCAACATATGTGTACAAACATATCTGGAAAACTCTCTTACCGCATACGTTGTTCTCCTATTCATATGTGAACCTCTACCCAGTGTTGGCTGACCAGGGAAAACAGTGGTCTGGGGCAAGTGCTCTAGAACTAATCAAAAGTGTGGTGGAAATTCAGTGATAGAGGAGAGAAGAGGGATGAGGTGAAACAGTAGGCTTCTTGTGGGTAGTGGAAGGAGGACTGTTTATCATCATGCTCCTGGAAACATAAGCACTTCCTTCCTTTTTCCTAAAGGCTGTGTCTAAACTACATCTCTTTTAAAAGAAGGATGTAAATAAAGCACTTTCAAAACGCAAATGAAGCGGGGATTTAAATATCCTGTGCTTCATTTGCATTTTCGTGTCCCAGCGGCCTTTCAAAAAGGGTATTTCGAAAGAGAAACCACAGTCTAGATGTGGTTCTTTAAAAAAAAAAAAAAAAAAAACCCCCCCCCCCTTTTTTTTTTTTTGAAAGATCCTGTACTCATTTTTTCAGATAAGGTATGTAGTCAAGATGAGCCCCTAGGGACCACCAAAGCTCAGCTGGTGATTTGCCTGGTATTGACCATCCTCAGACATTCTCCCTCCCTGCCTTCTTGGTATGCCTCTTGAGGCAAGGGACAAGGGGGGACACAGAAGCAGAGTAGACCTTCTCTGTGCACATCAGGGGCTGCTCATGTTGGAGGATTTCTTTCTGCTCTTTGTGGCACACAGGGGTTTTGATCACTATGCGTGTCCTGCAGGTTGAAAAGATCAGGTACCACAGCCTTAAAATCTTTGGCTACTACAACTTATTTTTTTACTAAAGCCATTCCGGTGGCAGTTATTTTTTTCCAGACCCATCTGATAGCACTGTGAGCCATGAGCCAGTTCAATAAGATCGTGCTGCCTTAGCCCACTGAAAATTTGGTGGCACAGGCAGCAGGATATAAATAGAAAGCAGCCAGATGAATACTGAATAGTGAAGTTAATTCAGTAAATCTTTTCAAGGACAAAATACCACGTAACAATTTTTGTGAGACACTCTCAAAATGTGGACTGGCATATGAGGGCTGCTGTAGAGGTGTCTGGAACAACTGGGGGAGGGGAGAGAATAGAAATGTGGTAGAAAATTGATTTAAAATAAAGGCAAAGAGTGGTGAATTGAGGGGATGGAGTTACTGGGAAATATCTACTGGTACGCTGAAATAGACCTGTTCTGGTCTAGTCTTTTCTGTGTGTCAGTTTCTCTGGAAGAGTGTGTGACCATCCTTACCAAGCTAAACCTCAGTTCATTTAAGATAAAATAAAATCTTTTTTTTTTTTTTTTAACTGTCTTGTTTATATTCTGCATTTCATTGGCAGTTGGACAGTGGAAACATAATCTGCTAGTTCCATTTTCTGTCTCTTTCGGACTAGCCTAATGATACAGTGTGTAGGTTTCAAACACACAGCATTTAAAACTGTCGTCATCTTAATTAAGACACACGACATTTTTTTTGAAAAATCTTGTGCTTATGAAACCTTAAATGTTGGTTCTCAATTGATCTGACAGATTTCTTTAATTGCAGATTGATTTTTTTTTTTTTTTCTGAGCAGAAAGGGGTCTTGAAATCTAGCAGTCATGGACAGCTGGAGAGATTCAGAGCAGTAGTTCTCACCTTTTCCATGCCCTCCTCCCCACATCTTTATCTTGTCTTGTTGGTTTATCTTGCCTTCCCCAAGTTTGCCATTTCTTAATAACAACTTGCATACAAAATCGAACATAAACATACAAAAGTGTCGCAGCACACTACTGATGACACAGCTCGCTTTCTCTTGTTTACTGTGTATATATGTTCTGGTGTTGTGGAAGGACATGTCCTTCCACCTAGAGTTGAAAGGTGTAACTCTAGGGATGTTAATTCGTAATTCTGTGGCTTACCTGTTAACTGGCCCTCCTTGTGAGCTGCTGAAGCAGCCCTGGCTGAGGAGGGGCTAGCAGGACCCCGAAACAACAGCAGGATCTCATGGCTGTGGCAGGTCAGTGCGTTAGGCCTGGCGAGTTGACTGCTACCCTCTGTGTAACTGCTGAAATGTTCATCAGTTACATGGTTACTTAATTACACACATTTTAACATCCCTGATTGAGGGGTATACCAGATTAACAGGTCTTCATCAAATGTATGACCAACCAGAAGACTGAAAACAGCTGATTATTTTTGAGTCTATTTTACTTTTTCCATTTATAGAAATATTAGATTATTCCTATTTTTAAAGTCTAAAGATTTTTTCCCCACATAATTTGTTAGAGGCATATGGTAACCTGCCATTTAGAAATCTTTCTTTGGATTTCTGTTGAGGCAAATGAGAACAGATGGGTGAAGAACAGTTATTCATACATATGGCTGAATGTGGCTGTTGAAAGATGCAAAATTTGGTAATGAAGTGGTTTCCTGCAGTACTCCAAGTATCAAATTAATTAAAAAATAAACATTTAAAGATATATATGGCTTTTTTAAAAATATGGTGCTCATTTATGTGCCTTTTTCTTGTAATTATAAAAGTTCTAAAAAAAATCACATCGACACATTTTGATGTCTCTCTTTACCTCTAAATGGTACCTTAATTTAAAAATACGCCTCAAGAAACTGTGTGGTGCTCATTGTATAGCTTTTGCAGTTGTAAGAAACCTAATTGTGTAATATATAATCTTTTTCTTCTAATTACAGGTTCACATTCTGAAAACCTTTTGAAGATATTCTGCCTTCCTATTGGATTACTTTGTTTACAGCACAGAATGTCATTGTGCCCTGGATTTAATTTGGTGTTCATGATTTAATCCCCCTTTGTGTGTCTGTGTGTTGGTGAAGCATTGGCGCTCTTCGGGGCTGCTGTTGTGTGGAAATTGATCCCATTTGAATCCCTTCCAAAGGACTAGACATTACTAGCGATGAGCTCCCAAAGCCATCCAGGTAAGGGGAAAATTTCCTTCCATATAGAGAAAAATCATCAGAAGAGCTGGCAAAAGACAACCTATTATAAGCTATGTCTTGTTTATTGCAAGTGGATTTTTAATTGTCTTGGAAGTACTTGCACTTTGTATGCAGAATGAACAATTTTTTTGGAGTTACAATAGAAAATAAACCCAGCTTCTCTGCATGAACATACTTAATCTAAAAATGAAACTTACAATAAAATTGGAGATTGATTGCATCCATATTAAATCTCACTCCAGAGTGTGGGGAATTATTTTTCCCTTCTATGTTTCTATCTGTTAAATTATGTATCATTAAACCTTTTAGCAGTTTCTCTGAAGAACTCCCTTTTGCTCAGATATTTAATTCCTTTTAGAATTATACTGTACTCTGTTAATGGTTTGTAGTCTCCATGTGATTGAAGGATTGTGGTTCTGTTGGTGCTTTTCATATCAATTATTTAACGAGTAAACTAGATGACTTAACACCCTCTTTCCCCTTTAATGAGCAAAAATACTTGTTAGAAAGAGTTACTTGGTTCATCTTAATTTAAGGTCGACTGCCAAAATATCTTTAAACTTTGTAACACTGTATTTTTGTCAAGAGCATCATAATTGAAAGACTTTTTGTATAAAACTTCTGTTTTGTGCAGGAAAACTTTGTTGATATCCAGATCCTACCCAAGAATTTATAGCTGAAGCTTCACTGTTGACTTTCACTGTTTGGCAAATCCACATTAACTTTGCATTTAGGAAACGGGTGCTTTTAATACAGTTTAAACTGGTTAGCGGCTCAAGTATATCTCTGAATCTCTGTCCTCTGATCATCAGTCATAGGAGAAACACACACTTTTTTCCAGCTTTGTGTGTATGTAGTCTATAGTAGGTTTACAATAAATAAGGGAGTCTTGGTATTCTGTAGGGATATGGTTCAGCTAAGGAAAAAGAATGCCTCTTCACAGTTCATTCAGTTTGGGTAGAGAAACTGGTCGGGTGAGTTCTGAGTTCAAGTTGTCTTGCACTAGAACAATGTCTTGTTAATCTTAAATTATTCTATTTAAGAATAGAAAGGAGTCCCAAGAAAGGAACCCCCCCCCAATATGGCATTTCAATTAATGCTGATTTTATAACTTTCCTTTTTTTGCAAAACCTTTACTTTAGGCTTAAGTTACTTGACATGGTATTCTCTTCAATGTTTCTGATGCTGGGCATAGAGTAGAGCCAAGGAAGACAGTGGGAGATGCTAGCTGGTTTCCTCTGCAATACAGAGAATCCTTTCCATGGATTTAGGAGCCTACATTAGGATAGAAGTCCTAACATTAGGTTCCTGTTTTTGGAACTCGTGGCCCAGAACTGAATGAGACAAGCAAGTAACTAGAAGAAGAAGTTTCTTTGATTTAGTTCTTAAAGTCAAAATTTGAGTGTTGGAATATTTGCATGGAAAAAGTAAAATTGTACAAATGACTTGTTTGTACAATTACTGCGTGATGAACTGAATTCCAAACGAATGGGTACTTACACATTCCCTTACGCGAGCACAGCAAGAACAAGAATCTCTGTGGCTACTGGGCTTTCCCACATCAGAGGGACCCTGGGGAATGTTTCTCAGAACTTCTGTAAGAAGGCATTGGCTAAAGCGTTGGTCCTTATTCCCCATGAACACCTTCCAAGCAATGTTATGGCAGGCTGCTACCAGATGCCTTGGTGAGGGAGGGGTAGCAGAACAGGTGTTTTTTTGCTTCTGACTTTTCCTTCTGTTGCCACAACTCATCTGAATTCTGCTGCTCTTAGAATTATGATATTAGAGAGATGAGCATCTAGAACCTTGTCTTCATCAGTTTGTATATTTAGTTGCTAGGCCTGGCCCTGCCCTTGCTGATGGCACAGGCAAAGGGGCATTTGGAAATTCTAAAAGAGGTGCAAACCAGTGTTGGTTTTGTGTGTTTTGTTATGACCATCACTCTTTCACAGTCCCCAAACAATTTTAGCTATGCTGCAGCCTAGCTTATTCTGAAATGAGTCTTAGCTCCCTAAATGAGTAATACATCATGTTCCCATTCACCTGGTTGTATATTAGTTAAGACTGATTTGGCACTTGCCATCTGGGAACTCTTCGATGTTAAAATATTGATTAAAGTTATTTTATTAAAAAAAATCAGCACAGCAGAATTAAATGAACGTTCAGAGCGAAGACCAAACATGGACTATATTGCAAATTAAGTATTCAGTATGTAGGAGGAGTTGTAGGTAGAGTGTAATTATTGATGTGAATAAGGGCTCCTTAGGAAACACAGGGCCCTAGAATACAATTCGAAGCAGTCATCTCTGCTAGCATGAATATTGTTTCAGCTGACTCCTTGGGTTTTTTTCCCCCCCTAATTATTTAGGGAAATAAAGAAAATCTGGAGTGAGAGAGCTTGCCCTTGTGTGTAGAATGAAGATCAATACATGCTTTATACAGCTCTCAGAAGGGACCATTTAATCTTGAACTGTGCTTCCTATCTTATCTTTATTCCTGTCAAGTCTGAAATTCTGACTTCAGTCAGTGTTAGTCAAAATAAAAGGTTAGTTTTAAAAGGGAGGCAAACTATCTTTCCAAGTGTTGAGCCTGACTTCAGTGGTGCATCATGACTTACTTTCCCGTGGTTTACACTGGGGTATTCTTCTTGCCTATTTCTTTTAAAACATGCTCTGTAATGGTAGGTAGAAATCTGTACTTCTGGCACCATTCTCAACCTGTTGAAGCCAGCTTCTAGATCTCTCCTCTGAAAGCTGTTCTGGTTATGTTCCTCCAAATAATTATTGCTAATCACGTGCACAGCCTAAAGAAAGGCCCTGGCTCAACTTGATTGGATGCTGCAGACTTCTTTTGGTAACTGAAGTGACAGAAGGCTCTCTTCGTCCTCCATTCCCAAACTTGCCACAACTGGGATGTGCAGAAATAGCTATAAAAAGGTTGTTACAGATGAATCAATAATTTGGTTTGAAAAGGTGATGTACATTGGACACTTGGCATATGTTGAAGAGTATTAATTAAAGGTGCATGCTAAGGACTGTGGGACCATGCAGAGTGATTATGGTGGATGGCATCGCACCAGGTATCTTACGGTGACATGCCCAAATCGCAACACATGCTCTCAGAACATCAGATTTAGTGCATTGGCCTGATGCAAAAGAATTGGAATAACTACTCCTTTAATCGCTGGATTATACAACTTCCTTGCTAGAGTATGGTAATTAGCTAATGTTTTTTTGAGGCTCATAGATATTGTGACTAATTCCTCTACTGTGCAATTTTGTTGGAGGAAAATATGATACACTGTGTTCTCAGAAAAAATAGTTGGAGTAGGAAGGGTTATATAAAGCTGAAACAGATAATACTGAGATTACTGCAGAGTGGAATGAAGAAAATTTGGCCAATTAAGATATTATTTAGGGTCATGATGAAGCTTAAAATGAGCAAAGGCATGTATAATTTCACATCTTGTGACATGCCATATAGTTTAAGCTTGTCTTCATGTAATCGGTTTTTTTAGACACCAATTTTAGTGATTATTTTCTGGAGCAAGTCATTTTGTAACATGTTGATACATTAGTGGAAAAAGCTATTTAAATCTCCCTTCTTTTCCTGTGGGTATTTGACCAGTTAGTTTAGCAAACCGGTTAGACTGTTCTTCATTATCATGTATTTACCGCTCTGTGTTCTGTTCAGCGGTATATATTTGGTTTCAGGCACTGTTGTCATATGCTATCCAAGACATTGAAACATAATCCCTGAGCTGTTTGAGCTGTGTCTAGTGAGTCAGGGAGTTTCCTCTCTCATAGCAGACTGGACTTTATACTCTCTGCTTTCCTAACTCTGATTTTTAAAAGCTACTCATTTTTTTAATGAATGGAAGTGGAATGGTGCGTATTTAGTGTTCACGTATTCAATTAGAAGCTTTGGAAAGGGGCTGTGACATGGCCCTTCCTTAGGGCTTCTAGTTTCAGTAGTACTTGTTGTAACATGCTGTTGTGAGAATAGGTTTGGTGGCAAATTTGCAAATACTTGGTCCAAGAGAACATTGGTGAACTTTCTGCAGAAAGAAGATTTAAAATTAGTGAGGGTCATAATTTCAGAGCTTTGGCAAAACCAGTTAGCCATACGCTGTGATATGCTAGATGAATATAGTACGTTCTTATGGCACGTTATCTGACAAGTGTGGGGTGTTAGACCCTCTTCCCTCCATGGGCAGGATCCAACCAAACCCATCCCAGGGCCTCCACCCTTATACCAAGCACTGGGTTACAACAGTACATAAGCATTTACAAATGGGTCCTGAGTAGGGCTGTCCAATCCCATCTTAATCAGTTAACTGCGTAGGCAGGATTAAGGTTAGGGTTAGCCCTGCTGGAGCACCCTGGCCTCCGGTGTGCTGCTGCAGCCGGTGGGGAGGATTGGGGCCATGGTGCCATCTGGGACGGAGAGACTAAGGGGTCCCAGAATGTTCGGGGTGGAGGGAGAACATTGAGTGTTAAGTGGAGAGAGTGGGCAAGGAACGGACTGTTCTGCAAACTGAATAAATGAATGGAGTATTTTTGTTGGGACCTCAATAGAAGGGATGGGACTAGGGCTTGCCTTCCCCAGCTGTGTGTTCACCCACAGCCCATGCAGCCAGGGCTGCTGCTGGCCGTGCTCCTGGGGAGGAGGCTTCGTGGTGGCAGCTGAGTGGTCTGGAGCGGGGACAGAGGGCGGGAGCTGCTGGCCTCACTCCTAAGAAGGTTTAGCTGCGGGCTCTGCAGCCCCTACCGGCCCACTCCTGGGGAGTCACTGTGTAACCAGTGATGCTGGAGGCTGGTCATGTCTGCCAAGGACAAGGTCTGCTCCTGTGGGCCTGGTGGAGTTTGGGCAGCCAAAGAAACTACAGAACTAATAATCAGTCCAGAACCCCCTTCCTCTCTCCAAGAATCTGCTTACTCACTTTGTTTCCAGGTACTGCGCTGCCAAACCACACAAGT